TTAGAATGAAAGTGATGTGGTAGACTCGTTCTCGAATTAAGAGCAATAGCGTCATGCCTCTGCAAATATCACTCTGTTGCGAAGGTACCGGATGTTTCTAATGAGATCTCAAACAGCACTTTATAATGAACACTGTAAAAAAGGTGAATGTCGTCACTGTTTTTATACTCTGTCGTAAAATATGCGACAACGCTTTCACGTAATTCCCACCGCGCCAATTTTGTTGTGCCTTTGTAGTTATGTTCCGGAGAAAATGGTTCATAGATTGCTGAATGGGCTGAATAAAGAATTCCTTATACAATAGAATGCATTGTTTATCTGCGCATAAAGACGTCCCCACTGCAACTGTCACTTTGTGTAATTGCACCATTTTTGCATTCTGCCGTACAGCGGTCCTGTGGCTGTAAAGTCACTGTTCGAGCCTGAGAAAGCAACGCAAATCCCTAAGAATAACACGAGGACTATTGCATGGACTCGTAAGTTTACGATAAGTGAAAATTACTAAAAAAAACCAAAAGGGAAAGCATCTCACAAGGTGATTCGTGGCTGCCCAGTAAAATATCTTTCGAAGTAAAGATACGAAGGTATGTTTAGTGGAAGCGTCTCTCACAATGTTTTACTAGTTGACCATCTAATTTGTGTTGTGAAAAAGCACATTTTAAAGTCAAATCATTGCTACATTTTCATAGAGGCATCTTCCTATTAGGCCCCGGTCAGACTTCACGCGACTTAATCGTCGCGATCTAATCGCCAAGATTTCCATTCATTTTCATTTCACATTCAAAAATTTCGGGCTGGAAAAGTATCACAACCGAATGCAAGTTGATCGGCATGGAATGATGTTGTAATAGTTGTCTCGTCGCGATTCAGTCGCGACGATCAAATCGCGTGAAGTCTGCCGGGGGCCTTACAGTCTTCGAACCCGTACTGAAGATGAAAACCTACAATTGTGCTCTATTCAGAGTAGTTCGGAGCATTCATAAATCTGAAACGATGAGTTTCTACATCAAACTGATGCACGATCCTTGTTAGTATAGATGACTTCAATACCACTTATAAGCTCTCCAGTTTGAACTAATTACATTTCGTGCCAGACTATCGTTAACTTGGTCTGTACTTGTTTTTTACCATCTGACAGATTTAGAATTAATGTAAGCATATCATTCATACCGCCTGTTTTAAGATTCAGATGTTTTGCTTCGATAGACGTGATGCTTTTGCGTAGCCCACATTTTGCGTACGTCAGTTTGTCACGATATTGTTCTCATCATCGTGTTTTACTCACCTTTGCACCGAGAGCATTCCGACGCCAGCTCATGAATAAATAGGGAAAATTTCAGTCACGAGCTCAGTTTGGAGAGTTTCGAAGGTGCTTGCACTAGCACTCCAACGCCTACACGGAGAGAGTAGCCTGCATAGAATATGAACTATCCAAGAATGGCATCGTTCCAAGCGATATTCTCCTAAAAATTTTTTAAATGAATTCTGTAATTATTGCGGCTTCAGAAAATGAATCATGCTCATTTCTAGCATGTTCTGATGTATACGTCCATAGAAGTACATCTATAATGATCCTAGGCTGCCATTCTGATGCTCTAGTTTTTTTTTTGAAGAAAATTGCTCCGATTAGGGCAATATTTTTGTGAAAATTTTGCAGGTACCCCCCTCCCCTCTGCAATGAGCAATGATAGCTAAAATTTCACATTACTAAACATGCAATACGAGGGAAGTTGTCCGTAAGGTACGAAATCGTGGGTGTGGGAAGGGTCAACAGTGCTGGTGCTTGTGGGAAATTAGCGAATTATAGTCTACAGCATTCATTGCATTCTCAGAGAGCATCGCCTTAATCCGGCATTCGGACTACTAAAATTACTGCAAACAAATGTCTCATGCGAGGTATGGTAGTTGGCCTGGATAGTGCTTTTTGCTATTACTTTCAAGGGTCAATGTTGTAAGACGCACTAATGCTTGGAATGGGCAGCAGTACATCACCGAGCATAAAATTAGAGGGTAGTATGAGCTACCTTAAAGGCTTAACGATGTTTTGGTGCTCAACGTTCATTAGTGGCCAGCTTAGAGCAAAAGCAGAAAGCCTGCATATACGAAGTAGTATCAGATACCGTAGGATGTACGAAGATGCATTCCATTTGCAATGATCCCAGACGTTCGCAACGGAAAGGAGATAAAGAGGGTAAAAAATGGTTTTCTTTGCTGACAAATCTACGAAGCTACGAATCTCATCAAAAGGCAAAAGCTTCCATAGATGTTATTCATAAACAACTCTCTTTGTTGGGAGACTGTGTATAATAATGTGGATGAATATTAGGTTTACATATAAATTTTGTGACGGTGGCAAATGAGCTGTATATAACCATGGATTCTTGGAAATGTTCTGGGGGCTTTGTATAACAAGACGAGGAATGTGCTGCAGGTCTAAATTTTGTCGTCTCTTGCTAATCTCAAAAGCAATTATTTTTTCTACTTTCCAGCTATCTGATTTTCTTACCTTCTCTAGAGTTTTAGAGAGATATTTTCTCTCCAAAATTTGCCAAAATTCAGAATTCGTTTTTACTAAGTTTTTCTTCCTTGAGAAAGCAACTTAGTTATTCGGCCATGCGAGTTTTGCCGGAAGAGATCTAAAAAAAAATTAGCTGTTGATGCATTCATAAAAGCCGAGGTTACTTGCACTCGTAAACCATGTCATTTAGGAAATTGGTAGGATCTTAAGTACGCTCAAAAATACGTAGTAATCAGTTGTTGAAAGCAACATTTGACCTTGTAAGCTACACATTTGAGTCGTGAACGGTGAGAACTACTCCTAGCGTATATTTTGTCACATGGTCTTGAGAACACGAAACAAGAGAAGTGTATTCTCACACCTTGCCCTCCTACAGCATCAATAATTCAAAATTTGGTCAGTGTAACAGACGGGATGTTCGCGCGTTCTTGCAAATTTGTTCACAGGAGTCTCTCTACTAGCCCAAGGGCTTTGAGAACAAGTGACGACACAATTGAATGATTTCCTTCCTCCATAATTACTCTAGTCTTCTACAAGTAATTTCTTCGCCGACTCCGCCTTTAGACGAGAGGCGGGAGAGAAGTCCTCACTCGGATCATCTCGTCTGCCAGTGCTTGCTTCGCTTTATAGCTCATTTCAGTTCTCCTTCACTTCATGTATCACCACACCAAAAAAAGGAAATAAAATATATTCTTTATTGAGACAAATCATTCTGATTTGTGATCCCTCAAGCAAAGAGAGCATAGCAACTTCGCACATCTGCAACAATACCTTTATCAGAATTCCTTCAGTTTTCGGCTCAGCTTTTTCAGAAATAATTTTTGGAAAGCAATATTTTCTATCCTGAGATAGCATTCATCTTCTTTAGCCGAATATTGGACGGGTGGCATAGCGGCCTCAGACGGTGTATCAGGGCCATAATTCAAAAGTGGGAAGCATTGATCCAAGCTTTATAAAAAGTTTAATTCTGAGCCAGAATTGCGCCGTATTTTCCAATTGGAGCAGGATTTCCTACTTGAGGCGGAATCGTCATGTCTAGCCATATAGAAATGAAGATCTATTAATATTTCATATAGATAGTACGCTTCCAGCTTCAAAGCCTGGATACTCATAGTCATGCTAAGTAATAAAAGTGCACAGCTTAATTGGGCAACAGGTAGTTGTGAAATGCGTCAAGAAGAAAATATATTTATGAAAAAATTATTTCGTAGAGTTTTGCTGCTCTACTTGGTGTACACACCAAAGAGATTTTACTAGTTAAATGTTCTTTGTCATCAACAATCGTGCTTAGTACCCACCAATTTCGAATTTTGGTGCCTATGCAGCTCGTTCGCAATGTAACTAGGGATCAAAAGAATACGTGTCTAGGTGAATGTCAACGATTTATAACTCTTTGTTCCCTAGATATTTTCCGCAACAAATTTGCAATCGTATATCTGACCCTCGGAAAATATAAATTGGACTCAAGCTATGGAACATTGTAGAAATACGGAAGCGTTTTTCATCATTGACCATCATTCAACATGAACAGTCTGCGAACCCTCCATTTCCTGGCTGTTCATCAACGGTCGAAGAAGGAGAAATTTTTGATTACCTAAAATGATTTGACATAGTCAGCATTTGGCTTTGCGTACAATAGGCACTTTTATTTATATTAGGGTTTCAAGCTTGCTTTTATAGTCTTTCTGAGCTTTGAAAGAAGTGATAGAAGTAGTGATAGAAGGGATAGAAGTAATGCAATTAATTAACCAAGTGAATTAGGATTTTGTAATCACACTAGAATCAGTCTGTTTTTTTTTCCAAAAAAATCACACAAAAATTATTCACAGAATAAGATCTGATTGGCGACAAATTACAAGGATGAACCAAACTTATTCTGTTTGTAACCTTCTGTGTTGTGATGCTTGGATTGTCCGAAAATTATCACCTTAAAGACTATTATTTGGTCATTTTATCGGTAATATGTGCGAAAGCTAAGAAATGATTCATTAACCAAGCTGAATTTATTTGGCAGCAAATATATGTCTATTGTCACTTCCGATAGGAAGAGAGAGACTATTTATTGACATGTGAATGATGAATCTTTCTGGATAAATATTTTCACAGCGATATCAGCAAAAGGATTACAGAAATTCACGAGAGCTACGGTCAGAGACTTTTCATACCAGTAAATATAAACAAGTCATTTGTACTTTTTGGTTTACGTGATAATTTTTCGGAGTTTTTTTTTGCTAGAATTGCGGCCGTTCCTTATGCTCCATCACTCAATAAAAGAAGTAAAGACGACAAGTTAGTGGTAACGCTTTTCGATATTTGTAGCGTTCTCAGTAAGGTTTGCTATTTTAAAACTCAATTTAAATCTGCACCGTACTTCTATACTCCACTCTTCTTTGTTTTTTACCTCTGCTACATAGTTCCTGTTCTCCATTGCAATCTCAAATGAACATGGCAATCTAAAGCCTAATTTTCAGTCTGCTATTTTAGACACATGCGTGTGCTGCTCTTCTGCTTGGCTCTGTTCGTTGCAGTACTTGCGTTCCCTCAGGAATTGCAGAGCAGATTTCGAAAAAGCCATTCACGTATGTTTACTCTGCTATAACAATTCTACTCGTTTGCTCTTTATAATAATCTGAGCTTCAAACAAAATTCCATGTCGTCATGTCATCAAATAGTAGCATCTTTGCAAAGATTTAAGATCCCATAATTTGGCTTGGATTAAGATTCCAGAAAAGCAGGATAAACGGTGATGCGAGCGTCATTTCGCGAAGGCAAAAATTTTGATTTTCGTTATTCAAGCTTTCTTCTTCAACAAGCAATTTCGTTACCCTGGTGAACATTTGTTAAGTATCCCTATTTTTAAGGATTTTCCACAAGGGATTTACATGCTATTCGAAAATATCGTAATTTACAAATCTTTAGGTTTTTGTGTGCATCATAATAGGATCGCATGTCATAGCCGTTCGATCTTCTTTCAAGCAAATTGCAACTACCTCTAGCCAGCATGCCAAATAATCCCTCAATGCAATACTTCTGGAAAGTTTGCAATTTGGAACTTGTACGAAAGCCAGCGTAGCTACTTAAGATAAAGATAGGTGAATGAGCGAATACAGTTGTCAAACATTGCTCTAAGTAAAGTCCCTGTAATAAATCATTGTTTACTTTTTACGCAATCGCCATTCCTCGTCACAAGTTTCGGGAATCCAAGACAAATTTCCTTCTAGAGAGGCTAATTTAATAGAATCCGAATTTTTCACCTTACGAACAGTTTGTGCTCATTAAGATTTAAGCGCACTTTCTGCGGAATACATTGGTACAAATTGAGAGCAATATTTAGATAGTGCCTCAAATTTAATTGAAGAATTCTTCAGCATTAAGACCTTGGCACCTTCAACTTTGACCGACGTCGCGTTTGAGTAAAGCAGTAGCAGCAATCGTATGCTACAAGTGACATTTAGCAATAGCTTATTGAAGAGCTGCTACCGTAATCCACTCACACTTTGCCCTGCCTGATAAAACTACAACGATCATTTTCCGAAGCGGGCACAACACATGGCAGCCGAGCATCTCCCTTTATTAATCATCAAACGCTCGCGCACGCTTCGCTCTCTAGGCGACCGCCATCGTCTGAGACTAGTCCATACATGAAACATTGATACTCATATCTGCCGGTTAGCATTCACCAATTAATTGATTAATTGATTTCTATTGGAAAACATCCTTAGTAAACATGATTGATTCCAGCTGATGCCAACATCCAGCCATTCATCCGATTCCGCAAATCATCCTACAACACGTGGCTTGATCCCTTTCCAGCATACCAATAATTTGTAAAATGCTTCTGTGAGTGTGTTCGCGAGACTTATAATAAAGATGAAGTTAAACCTGCACAACTTACTTGGTTCATTCACCAACTGATTTTTGAATAAAGTATTTCCAAAGCGTCCATATCAGAAACTGATACGTTAGCTTCTATAATTGTGGTCGAAGTGATTCAGCACACAATACACAAGTTCAAGAAAAATGATTACCATCGGTCAGTTTTCTTTCAACTTGGTTCACTTTTTCCAGGTCGTTTTTTCTTTTACTATCAATACAACATTCGAACTTGATTTCACAGCAATAGCGTTGGAGTAAAGTGAAAGTCAAAACACTAAAGTATTTGCTAAAACACGCATTGTACTTCAAACAAATATTACTTCGTCAGCTTTATCATCTTTTCTTAAATTATATTGGAGTGAGGCTCACAGTGCACATAGTAAATGAGTGATAACTCCTACAGATGTTGCAACAGCATGAGTGTTTTAACGTCCAAAAAGGGCAAGGTTTGGAATAAACCGTCTTTATTTATAGCATATGGTAGTAATATCATGCTTGAAGTTCACCGCCCGTAGTGCGATGCCGGAAATGATTTTCTCACTTTTACACTACCAATGGTTTCGCATGCTTATAGTAGCAAATGTACGTCGTATGATATGGTCTCCACCAGCTATAAATTCGGCTAAAAGTGGATGGTCATTTGCGTGGAGCTTTGACATTGAGACTTTGAAAACCGCGTTATAAAAAGTTGCAATTTTTCAAATTTTTTTCTCTCTCTCTCCATAGCTACGCAGTATACCTAAGCTAAAATCAACGCAACAACTGCAGCACCACCATCCACACTAATCCATACCAAATCGCTAACTGCAACTGCACCACACACAACCACCAACACAACGGCGGCAGCGCCGCTATTCGCGCCAATCCCAGCCGCGCCACTATCCACACCGATCCACACCAAGCCTAGCACTGCAACCGCACCGCCATCCACACCAATCCACACCGAGCCTAGCACTGCAACCGCACCGCCATCCACACCAATCCACACCGAGCCTAGCACTGCAACCGCACCACCATCCACACCAATCCACATTGAGCCTAGCACTGCAACCGCACCGCCATCCACACCGTTCCACACCAAGCTAGCACTGCAACCGCACCGCCAACCATGCCAATCTACACCAAGCTTAGCACTTTAGTCGCACCACACTTCGCATTTTAGCATCTACTGTTGCTCAGACCCTGCCAAGAATATCGAAGCCACACCTTCCGCTATAATCCGCTGTTGTAGAATAGACAGAGACGTTGACAGATTTGACGCTTTGCATCTTTCTAGGAGAAAAACGATGTTCAGAACTAGAACAGATATTGAATTCGACAAATATCTCGCTATGCTCGTGCTAAAGCCAGTCGGAGACAATAATCATACTCGGGAGTATAAGATGCAAAGCCTATGTCGTATGTATTAGCTACAATTGTTTTGAGGTGTTTGAAGCGAAGATGAGAACTGTGCTTTTGAAGAGCGGCTGCGTGTGAGTGAATGACAAAATTCACCAATGAGGATTTTTTATGCAGCCTTTACGGATTTTTTTTGCTCCAGAATGCGCATCGTACTTTCCAGCAAATCAGACGGAAGTGGTCTTGAAAACATAGGTAAATTGAGATCTTTTCATTGAATCTGATGTGTTGTACCGCCATGCAATCCTCCCTTTATGAAAAGTCGCAGAATACAAGCTGCATACCCTTAGCTGTTTTGAGTACAAAATGCAGGTTTGCTAAGCCTTGGTTAGCCGATCTCCCATTACAAGTCTGCCTCTTTTGCAGACCGTGGTTCAGAACTCTACTTGCTCTCATAGGGCATATAAAAAAATGTTTAATCGCTGCTGAGAGTCTTTGCGCAATCCATTGTTAGGGAGGCGACAGCGCTTGATTCTCAAGGAAAACTCGTATTTATTCAATCTTTGTAGGGTTATAACTTCATTGAACTGCTATCGAAATGCGTATTCTATGATTAGTAGTTCGGCATAACAAACACAATGTGCATCTCGAATAACTGAACGAAGACAAGCCAAATACCCGAGAGGTGCTGGCAACTTTCTTCTGATCAGCGAGAACGGGTAACACAAACAGAGTGGCAGAAGAGTCCAAGTTTGATGAATGGATGAAGCCTAATGTAATTCAAATGCGGTCATACGCTTTGCTGGATTTATACCGGTTGGGTAGAGCAAAAAAGAAGGATTGCAGTGATGTACCTTATCAATTATGAGTTTAAGAAAATGTTTCACATTTTCAAATGACTGAAGTTCTATACATGTATGAAATACATTTGTTGAATGTGAAGCATTCGATAAAAACATTAGTAGTTACATTTGTTGTGTAGACTAAATCCTTGCTTGATTTGTTTGAAAAGCATTTAATCTATGTGGGAAATTTTTTAATTTACCCTAATTTCGCGCGTATAAAGCGGACTTTTTTCGATTTTTCGACTAAGCCCCTCAATCGCTTTCAATTATCTCGTAAAGTGATCCTTATGCCGTACGATTCTCTCAAGCAATATGCAGCAAGGCATAGGGTCCTTTGGTCTCTTTGGCGCATTTGGGCTGGTCGATTTAAAAAAAAATAAACCCGCGCCTTGTACGCGTGAAATTAGGGTAATACAGGTTCTGAAAATTCTCAGAATCTCACTGTATATAGTTGAATTTCCAATATTAACACCTATATGTGAAGACGCATGTGTGAACTGTCAACTTCAAACGTAGAGTAATCTGTATTGTTATTGTTACGTGATGATTTGATTATTTATAATTTTTATTTCTAAAACAAAGAAGTCACATTCTAATCACTGTTATGCATATTTTCAAACCTAGTATATTACCGAAGGTGTCATTCAACCATTTATTTATACATTTTTTACATTACGTATAATTAATAAATCATTCATATATCTGAAAGGTTTGAAAAGGATTTTATTTTTTGGATGATTAATGACGAATTTATATTCGAGGTAAGATAACGTCAAATCTGCAAGGATAGGGCTGGCATTACTCCCTTGTGGAACTCCTACTTTTTGTATGAGTATGTGAATTGCAATCTTACTATAGCGTTATTGCAATAGAATTGGACAGGGACAAAATATCTCCAATTTTGTAAGCCCTTTATTATGGTTTTTCATTTTAGAGGTTACAGTAACTTTGTCATTGTTACAGACAACATATTTGCTATTACTATTTTTAAAACATTATTTGAGAATCTCTTTGAGAGTTCAGATTATGATTTCATGAGGAATTCTTGTAAACATGTTGGTGAAATCGGCTGGATAAGTTTAAGGTCATCTGCATTGGTGTTGAATTTGTGGGAAATATTGTCATCATTTATAGACCAATAAATGTCCAAACAATTTTTGTTAATGCATACAATTTTGATATAGTTTTTGAAATGGTTTTGCCTTTGCAGTGAAAATAATAATATAGACACTATGAATGCTGGAGGAAGTGGCGAGTTGAGGTTTTCTTTCCATTTTGAAGATGCTAAAAAGTACATCATTAAAACAAGATAAATTAGCAGAAATGCTTTCCATCAATGGCTCCACAGCAATTCCGGTCCATTTTCCGTAACAGCGTCACTAATCGGTGATGATGAAAATTATATGGCATGCTAGGGCATCAAAATATTCTCTGCAACTTTTCGTTCCTCCAACTGGCAATGAAATTTACTTGAGTAATATCTACCGGTACAATTTGTTTCTCACTCACTCCAACTAGCTAACGTAGTTCAAGGAGTGAAAAATTGGTGAACTAATGTTATAACAGCAGTCAATCGCGATCACTTGACTGACATATTAGTACAGTTGTAGCGGTAGAATTTGTCCAAAATTGCAGGATTGTCGAGATTCGCGGGATTCGCGGGATTCGCGGGATTTGCGGGATTTGCGGGATTTAGTTGTGACTTTTTCTAGAACAACTTTATAAGAAATCTGTAAGAAGATTCGGCTTCAGCTTGATGAGACGAATCTTTTGGTATACGGTATGTCCATGATTCACGGCGAGATGTAGACATATGGTGATACCTTGTTACTTTCTATTAGGTTGTCCGGAAATTAATGCCCGTTTTGAATTTCAACCGCAATAAGTCATACACTACTCATTTCTAAATAGGTTGCAAAGTACCATTCGATAGAGCAAAGCAAGCTCTACAAGATGGCCTTCTTGCTTTTGTAACAGCTCTCACCCACCTCGAGTTTGGAGCCAAAAACTAAAAAGACTCAGCAGCCCGAAATATCGAAAAAAATCGTAACTTAGTTCATAAAAATCCTACAAAAATTTTTACTTGCTCACGTAAACACTATCCACATGAAACCTCTATATACGCCTTTGCCGCATTTTTTTCTCTGTTAGAAACCGAGAAAACGGAAATTTTCGTGCATTTGCCAAAGTGATGCTGAGCCATCCCCACATAGGTAGTTGTACACCCCAAGCCCGTAGAGGTACAGACTCAAAATTTTCAGCTCTCTACAAGCTTTAGTTCTCGAGAAATACCGAATATAGCTTCCCTAGTTAGGTGGTCCAAGCTAAAATTCAAATTTCTCGAGAACTAAAGCTTTTAGAGAGCTGAGAATTTACGTTTGTACTTCTACAGGTCTGTAGTTTAGAACTACTTATGTGGGAACGGCACAGCATCACTTTGGCAAATGCATGAAAATTTTCGTTTTCTTGATTTCTAACAGAGAAAAAAATGTGGCAAAGGCGTATATAGATGTTTTATGTGGATAGTGTTTACGTGAGCAAGTAAGAATTTTTGTATGATTTTTATGAACTGAGTTACGATTTTTTTTTGATATTTCGGGCTGCTGAGTCTTTTTAGTTTTTGGCTCCAAACTCGAGGTGGGTGAGAGCTGTTACAAAAGCAAGAAGGCCATCTTGTAGAGCTTGCTTTGCTCTACGAATGGTACTTTGCAACCTATTTAGAAATGAGAAGTGTATGACTTATTGCGGTTGAAATTCAAAACGGGCATTAATTTCCGGACAACCTAATATGATAAGGCTTTTGTGAACATTTATCAC